ATATATATACTGCCATTCTTCATCCTAAAAATATCAACAGGGCAGAGTTTATGAATGATTTCTTTAAAGGAGAACTCTGTGAGAATCTCTGACTTTGTGGTGCAGTAACACGAGACGACACGTTGATTATTCGGTAATAAATCGTTCTTATTTTTGTATTACAATAAAAGGCTCTGCCTAAAGAAATTATAAGGTGAAACTAATTCTAAGTATGGAAATGATKACCTTCATGTTTGCACTTGCAAAGTGTTTTTGTGACTGTTTTTTGTTTGTTTTCTGTGTTGTTTTTCTTTATCCGTAAAAAAAGAAATCCTCATGTTTCACTTGTTGCTTTATGTTCTCAAAGTTGTGTCGTAACTTCTCGCTGCTGTGCCTTGACATTTTGTTTTTGTTTGTTGTATTCATTTTTTGAGATTGAATCACACTGGGCGGAATGAAGGCGATGAATGAACAAGGAAATGACCCGTTTTTGAATATAAATATACATTACTAACTGTGACACTCGAGAGGAGTTTWATTGTTTTTTGTGTGTTAAAAGTCCTTTCAGAGTTGGAGGCTACAGTCATGACTGCAAGCAGCATTGCTCCTGTATTTTTGGGATTTTGAACTAATTTTGAACTTACATTTTTTTTGTGTGAACACGTCTTGCATTCATGCTCTGTAGTCGTTAAAGGTTTTATATTTTGACCACTGTTGTTCTCCTGTGTTCCATCCAGGGATGGTTGGCAATGCAGCTTTTATCTTGTGTTAAACAAACTGGGACGTAATTATATTATCTTGTTTTACATCAACCCTGAAGAACAAGTGTGAACTTTCCACATTATATCACTGCTTCTCTGATAGGTTTCAGGCTCTGATAAGATATACCTCTGTGTGGATTTAGCCTGCACCTTTTTCTGCGTTGTCTCTTCTCTGCATGCTACATGACATATCTAAATGCAAATCCAGCTCAAGAAACATGTAAAATATGTCTACAGTTTCTATATTTGAATAATATATCTTCGTTTTTACTCATCATTAAGGAATAAAGCTTTAATTATGTATCCGTAAGCTAATCACCATGAGTATATATTTGTACAAACCTTCAATTCCCACTGAGAAGTATAATTTTTCTAAATACACACACAAAAATAGGCAATTGTTTTTTTAATGCAARTATAAAAATGCATTACAAGTTGGGTACTTTTCGCAGTTGCACTACATAATAACTCAACAAAATACTGTATGTAATCAAGAACTCAAATATCTATTGCTTSAGTTTAGTCAACAGGTTTAGCTTCTTTTGAAAATCCTTTTAGCGTCCACACCTTCATAGTTGTAGCTCTGTTGGAGAAAAAACAAAATAGTTAATATAGCCACAGCATCAAAYTGAAATATGGTTTTTAGGCTAAAAGAGTGCAAAAATAAATTGTCATGTTAAACCATATAAAATAATTCAGTCAAAAAAATTACTTTCATTAAATTTTGGTTTGCTGTTTGGTTCTGTTGAGTGGATGTGGACAACAAATATCTTACCTGTTGTAGATAGCTCTGTGAATRGTTTTGACATGCACCAAAACCAAAACAGACCACTGCTGTTTTAAAACAACTCCAATCTCAACACAATGTGTCAACAATTTACCTGACTGTTAATTTCCCATTACATGACACTTTATGAATGAAAATAGCAGGAGCTAACTGTACAGTGCAGGTATTTCTGCATGAATTACCATGTAATGTGAGACTGATGGAAGTGTAACCAATTATAACATTTAGCAGACATTAACAACTTATAAATCTTTGAGGTCACCCATTCACTTTGGTTTTGACTTTGTCCAGGTTAGCCAATAGCTCATAAATCCAGTCAGAATTAAACTATTTTTCTATAAAGAGGTCACTTAAAGAGCAAGTGAGACAGTCTTTTCACAGAACCCYTATTCACAAGAACGGCACTATTTACGCATTCTAATAGCCAAAGAAGCAAATGCATAAGATTTCATCAGCCTTACCTGAATGAGTTCATCTCCTTGGATGATTCTGGTTGTTGTCAGTTGTTTTCCATTGTCCTTTCTGTTGAAAATTCCTTTTAACACGTCGCCCTCCATGGTCCATGAACCCTGAGGGATGGACAAAGAGAAAATTGCTTTAGAGGGATTTTCAGTAGAAACTAATTTTAAATAATTGTTTAATTGCATAGGAGCAAAGATTTTTTAGTACAGAAGAAGCCTTTATTGTTGCAAAGTTTTAGCCAACAGAAGTGTTTCAATTATGGATAATAATCCTGCAATTTCATCTCTGTTAATACAAGAGAACAGACAGGTCTTGCTGAGGTTAATTTCTCAGTAATYAACAGCTTTAAGGCTGAATGTCTTTTTTATTTCTTACCGTGAGTTCAGTTCCGTCTGCGAGGCTGTAGTCGAAGGTGACCCCCAGGGTGAAGTTGATGTCGATGGTACGGAAGCTGCTGCTCTCCTTTACTTGAAACGTGTCTCCAGTCTGCTCGATTGTGATCTTCAGGTTGTCGTGAGCAGCCAGCTTCCTCTTCACCAGGTTAATTCCTACAGACAGAATCAGTGAATAATGACAGGATAAAACCTCTTCATGCACAATTAGCTTCTGTGTTTATCTTCGCAGGTAGGAAGTAAAACATATCAAACAAACCTGCAGCTGAAACTCACAAAGGTCACTAATACCCTGGTTCTGTCAGATATTTTAAGGTTTTCATCATTTTATTGAATTCATCTCATCCAGTGTTGACTTTGCAAACATGGTGATAAAACTACATAATAAATTCAGCTGTGAGCACTTCAGTAAGCATCTATGGAGACTAAAAGCAAAATTCTCACCCATTTTCTCCATGAATTTCTCATAGTTGTCATTGCGATCAATCTTCCAGGTGCCGTTGAAGGTCATGGTGGTGACTGGTTGGGGTGAGCTGGACCACTCTGCAGAAAGGAGCGCCGCACCCAGAGTCCGACGCTCCTTTTAAAAGCCTCACTTCCTCTTATCTGTTCATCAGCTCGGCCTGTGATGTGGCCGTTTAAAGCTCGCGTTGGCTCAAGCTGACACAGGCTGACTTCCTGTTGAACTTGTGTGTTTACAGAAGGTGGTGGAGGTGATCACCCTGGCAGGTACCAGTGCAGAACAGAACCGTTCTGCATCCAGGATACGATTCCAGAAACACTGTGAACTTTTGAAAGGTGTTTGCTTTTGAATGCAACTCCTGGAGAAWCAGACACTCAGAACTATGTGCAAATATATGCACCTTTAGTGACAAGTTTGAGTTGATTTCATCTCATTTTACTAAAATGTTTATTATTAGATAAAGATACCAGTGCACTACAAGCATAATTACTTTGCTCAAATATTGTGATCCATATAGTGACCCTTTTCCTTGACACTTCTGACCTGAATCAGTCCACCGCTGATAAAGATGACCTTTGATATTTTGAGTTAATAATACATCTCTATTATTTTACACAGGCATCCTGGTTAAAACACTAAGCTAATTCAAACTCATGACCAACTGAGTTGCTAGAGGTAAATAAAAAGCTGTCGCAAGTCTTTTTGTACGGTGATTTTTTTTAATCTTAGMAAGTTTTTTAGAGATTTCAAAATGATGTGTATTATTGCCAAACAACTGAAGTGTCAAACACAAGATCCATTCTCTGCATTGACAGGACACTAAAAGCAGAAAACCCCAAATAACAACATATTCTAACGAGCTACAAAGTGCAACAACCATAAAAGACTTAATCTAAACTAAAATAGTTAATGGTGGCAAAGGTCAAAGAAACAAAACCTACAATGACTGAAGGTTGCTTTTAAGAGATGATGAAATATGTTCACCTCACCAGAGGGTGAAATGAACAAACCAGTCATTCTTCTTATCTGCTCTGGACTAATGTCACACGAGGAACTTTTGTCTGACCTTCACTTCACTTTTATCAGACTTTCTAACTTGACTGTTGTGATGAAACTTACAGATGGGACAAACTTGATGAAATCCAGCGAATGCTAAACGTTATCATATCTTTATCTTGTGTGGTTTTTATCTCAGGTGTAGTATCAGTTTTTCTGAGCAGCCTATCAGTTGTACTGGCCCATCAAAAAGTAATGATACAGAGAATAAAATGATGGACATGTGCCACACTAAGTGACTCAAACTCAGTAAATGCTGCATTATCAGCTGCACTCTAGACAACAGAGCTGCCTAAAAGTTAGCAACATAACCTTTAAATCATTTGATTGTTTTAAAATATTTTTTGTAAAGGTTATGCATAATAATTTTTGGGGACTGAAATATACCACYCTTTCTTTTAGAAATTAACCACTTTAGAAGTAGAGGAAAAAACAAAGACAAAAAAACAACATGATGGAGAAAGAGTGGAATATTTCAGTTCCCCCAAAAATATTATGCATAACCTTTTCAAAAAATATTTTTAAATCATCAAATGATTTAAAGGTTATGTTGCTAACTTTTAGGCAGCTCTGTAGAACCATTGTATGGTGGCAAAATTGTGCCAGAACTCTTGCGAGAAGTGTGATTGCTTAAATTGCTCTCTTTTTGGCACACAACTGCACTAAATGTTTCTGATGATTATTATCCTTTGATGATGTAGTTGTAACTGACGCTGCTGTTCGTTCTGTATCTGAGAATGAAAAAGTTCTGGGAATAGCAAGATATTTCAGATGTCACAAGTTCAAAGTTAACTAAAGGTGAAATAAAAGAATAATAACTTGGCAACAGGCAGCAACAATAAAAACGCATTTTATACTATTGTAATCTGGTGTAAAGAGATAAACAATTACACATGGAAGGAACTTTCACTCCTTTTCAAATCGTAAATGAATAAAACAGCAGAGAGGTGAACAAATTAGGATAATGGTTTAGTCAGATGAGCTTTCCTCCCATTTTAAACATTGTTAGTCTTGATTTTAAACTTAAAAAAAAGTTTACCAAAATCACAAACCCCTCAGTTAAAGAATTGATCCCACCAATGAGTTAGAGGAATGAAATATTTAATGTCATCACTTTTGACTCCATTTTATCAATGTATGAAAACATTTTGCACATATAATAGTTATCTTATTGCAGGACTGATCAATATACTATAAATTAAATTCCTGAAATCACAAAGTTGGGACACACCTGCACAAAAAAATGGGTCCATTAAATGACACTTTTCTTCATTGTTTTACAAGTGGGCAAAAAGTTTTTATCCTGATTAGTTTTGAGAAAGAAGGAACTGAAAAACCAGATGTTTTTAAATATACATCCTTCAAAAAAATGCCACAACCCCAACTGAGACATTGTGTAAATGTGAATGAAAAACACTTTGCTAATCTTATAAACCCATATTTTAATCAAAATGAAAAATAAAAGTATAAAATGTTAACTAAGAATGTTTTACCATTTGTTTTAGGAAGAATGTATAAATTGATGACAGCAACACATTTCAAAATAAGTTGACATGGAATAGGGTTGTAAAAGTAAGTGGTCTGAATAAGAAACTGGAGGTGCAGTATAGGTTAAAAGAGCATTTCAGAGAAGCTGCATCCTTCATAAGTAAAGATAAGCAAATGTTTTCTTGTCTGTAAAAATCTGCAACTCAAAACAACCAAATACTGCATTTTGTTTACAGCAAACATTCCAGGATTACACTACCATGAAAGCCCACYAGAGGGAGAACTTTCTAAACAAATCCAAACCAAGCAGCTTATTTTGAACAGCAGAGATGCTCTAATTTTATATGCAAGTTCGTCGTTCAACTAAAAAAACCCTTGCTGCTGTTTGATTTGATTTGTTTTTTCCCTTTCTTTAATTTTAAAAACAACACAGACAAGTAGCAGTTCCAGTCGTAAAGTTTACTACGATGACTGTTTTTCACAGGTGAGCAGTACATTACAAACAGTTTAGATTGTACTAACAGTAAAACAATAAATACAAAATGTGTCAAACAATAAATATGTGAATTTGTAAGACTATCGCTGTATCGTAAAGTGGAACTAAAAATTTCATAGCAGCAGTGATGTGAGGCAAGGTGCAATTACTACATTAAATTACTGTGCATTTTTTTCCTATTTTAGATCAGTGATAGCTACTTAATACAGCGGTGCTATTTTGTTTTTACTGCTAGAAAAGCAGTTTTTGTCAAAGAGTTGATGAAAACTTAAAAAGTATACAAGCTAAAATGTTAAATATAAAACAATTTATATTATAATTTCATTTGTGTCATTTTGACAGTTAAACATGAACACAATGCTGAATATTGACTTTGTTATTACTATGAGACAAACAAGTTTTTGACTAAAATTGTTTGTATTTTTTGGCATTTTCAGGTGACAGAAACACACCATTCACATTTGGCACCAACAATTTCCCTAACTGATTGTTCTTTTTTTCTTAAAATAAGCTTTAGTGATGCATTTAACACACAGTAAATTTAAAAATAATAATAATTATTATCAAATCTTTACTAATGAACACTGCTTCATTTTTAAAATACAGTTTGGCCATAATGGATCATGGGTAAACAGAAACAGGGGAAACAATTGTGCTTCTACAGTAGCTATAATAAAAATACTTGTCTATTCTGCAAAGATAATAATTTTATACTTCCTCGTCTCTGTCACATCCCTGAATAAAACACTATGAGACTTTAATGAGCATTCACAAGATGATACTCAGAGAGCTGCAACTCTATACGATTAAGCTTTAACCATGATGGACTCTGAGTCGCTGCTGGTCCTAGAGAGGAACCACACTTTCATCGGCTCCTTCTTTCCTTTCATGGGGATGGGACCGCGGTACTCCAGATGAAACTGAGGGTCGGCATTCTCAGCAGACTGCAAACACCTGAAGACGAGGACAACATCCCCACGAATTACTCAGACAATAATAAACTAATAAATGTTTAGGCTTTCTGATTTACGTTTAACGTCATCGACCTAAAACTGCTGCCAAAAGGTGAAGAAAATATATAAAACGAGAGGTGAAACCCACCTGTAAGTATATTCAGAGACATTAATTTTCCCCTTTTCACCAGTTGTTTCAGTTCGACTTGTGAGGTTGACTGTGTTTCCGAACAGGCAATACCTGGGCATCCTCTGACCGATTACCCCCGTCACCACCTCCCCTGTGTGGATCCCAATTGTGATCTGGACAGAATAGACAATAAAAAGACAGGATTTTGATTATAGTTTTACAGAAGATAAGTAAAAAATTGCAAATCCATCCCTACATTTGGATAAGTTGAGAATTTATTATTTAAAAACACACAAAAAACTAACTTATCTACAAAACAAAAAACAATTACACTATGAAGCAGTCCCTCCAAGACGTTGCAAGCAAATTCAACCAATCACCGCAATTTTAACTCAGATTCCCCAATTTGACCAATAACCCCTGCTTCCTGTTTGGTTTCTGGTTGCAACTTTCTGAAAAAGCTGCAAAATTAAACATTTTTGTTTGCAACAATCAGAACAAAACTGACAAAATCCTAGAGACTAAAACTAACTAACTACTATATACTGTATAATATTCCGAAAAATAGCGTAAAGCAAATTTGACATCTAAATGTTATATGAAAGACTGCAAATACCCACAAATAAAACATCTTTTAAAAAAGCAGGCGACTATCTTTTGAATGTTTTCTCAGTTTGTTCACACAGCTCTTAAAGCCATCAACTGAAAAGGTGCAACATGTGGTGGGTGGATATAACATTAACTTTGCCAGAAAATTCTTGGTGCACATAATTACAGTCCCATTTTAGCTCTTTTTCTATGCAATAAACATTTCCAAATGCCATTTAAAGCCAATCTATAGACTAATATTTACACTTGAAACTGTAAGCACTGCAGCGCTCGTTGTCCTCGGATCCTGAACATGCCCAAAGTGTCGGGGACAGATGAACATCTATTTTTAGCCACAGGGTCGTGAGATGATGGTGAGACGAGTGTGTTTCTGCTACTAAATTGGACTTGTCTTTAGCCGGTGCCATCTCCCAAAATAAACAACCTTTTGTTAAGCCGACATTCATTTCCAGAGTGAAGTCTCAACAATCATTGATAATAAAACAATCTTCAACAGTTTGTTAAACAAAAGTTGTCTGGTTTTTATCCAACTTTTTTTCAACTTGTGACTTCAGTGTGGAAATATGTCCAGAAGCACAGATACAATTATTCTCAAATCAAATGGGAGGGAGGGAAATAAAGCAAACCATTCTCAATAGAGCCCAGACTATCTGTGCCAAAATAACAGATGCATTGCTAAAAAAGCTGCAGAAATAATTAAATATGTGAAGGAAAACAGAATGAATATGATGACTGTCTGTGCCAAGCACGGACAAACTGCAACACCAACAAGAAACTAACCAACAGGAAATAAAAAACCTCAACAAAATACTAGGAATCTATATTTTTAATCACTTTTAATCACCTAATATGTTCTTATGAGTGTTGCAATTTTAGTCTACATCCCGTAAAACTGAAGCAGTTGACAGTCAGAATGACAGTTTTCTGTTCCCTTTCTTACGAATTTGAAAATGCGGTCGAGAGCCAGTTTTATTTTCTCCATTGTAATAAGAGTTTTGYGGTTTTGGACATTCCTTCACACCTGTACTGGTTCGTCGTCCACCTTGACTTGTCCCGCAATCTCCAACATATCCAGAGCGAGGTGGCAGATTGACTTGGCGTGGTGCGTGCACGGCTCCGGCAAGCCGCTCACCGTCATGTACTTATCACCAACTGTTTCCACCTGTAAAAGACAAAAAGAAAAATAAATTTATCCCTAATGTCAGCAATTTAACAACCTAATATCCTTTGCTTTATTTATGTTCAATGTAGTTCCCACCGTGTAAGCTAGAAAGAAGCTAAAATCCCAAGTGATAAACATTTAAACACTTGCATTAGGTTTAAAACATTCAGGACCTCTTTAGGTTCTGCTAAAAATAAAAAAAAATAAACAAACGGGACCACCTAGCCATTCAGCTGGTTGAGTAAATATTACTTCTTTTGGTGACCCAGTGCTTGAAGATGATTCTCCTGGAAGTGCAGAGGTCTGTTTGACTTCTCAAAGTGCATTCTTGTCTGAAGGCCTGGAGTGTAAATCTGTTGCACAAGGYCTATAAAATTCTGGAGCCTCTCTGTAAAACTGCTCCATGTTTAGGAAAGAGGGCTTTGCATGTGAAAAAGTAAAGTCAAGTGACATATAGATTCCCTTACTGAGTTTGTGCATAATTGCATAAGAGCTTTCCCCTGAGTGGTACATTTAAAAGGGGCAATATTATGTGTTTCTCATGCATATATTTAAATACTATACATTAATAAAGTATATATGTCACCTTTAGCTGTTATTAAAATGCTGTTTTTATGTTTAAATAGAAAATAAACTTATCTTCTCATCACTTCCTCTTCTAAACGCCTTGAAATTGGCCTCTGCCTCTTTAAGAACCTCCTTCCGCTTTTATCTCGCCCATTTTGGTGTGTGTGTGTGTG